TCTTTTGGTTCTAGTCTTCTAGAGATGTTAGAATTCAAAGAGAGATGTCTCAAATCTTTTGCCCCCTTCTTTAATGCCGTGAAGAAGAAAAAAGATATTCCGGGCAGATGCTTATTCATATGCAAACAACAGCTTTTGATTAATTTTTAGAATATGTAACTTTTGTAGCACAAATACTAAATATTTAACATGTTAGATGTATACCTCATCATCACACTTATTCTTTTTTCCTAAATAAATTAAAAGTTAGTTGCTTAGCATTTTATAAGTTTAAATCCTTTATCTTCACTCCAAATTAATGTGAATTTTTTAAGTCGTAGTGAACTTTATCAACAAACTAATAAGAGAGAAAAAAAAAGTACATCAAAACCTTGTTCTATCCTTGCTCATTAATGTGCAAACAACTTCTTTATCTACCTAGTATTTACAAATGTCAATCCAAGGAATCAAAAGCTTTCCAATTTGGGCAACAAAATTCTGTTGAATTCTAACATGAGCTAGTTGTTTGAATTTTGATTTGAAAGAAACAACTGCTCTTATTATTCTTCACTTAGCAATAGTCCCACAAAAATGACCCTTCATACCTAAATCCAGCATGATCGTCGAGAGGATAGTTAACTGCTTCAAACAGCTGCGAAGATAATGAATCCCAGAATTCATCAATTTGATGATTTACATCAAGAATGAGATCGGGGAGGTCAATGAATGCATCATCAGTGGGTGATCTAGGTAGCTCTTGAGACATTGTAGTAGTGCTACTACTAGTTGGAGAGCGAGGAAAAATTTCATCAGACTGACTCTGTTCCTCCACTCTTTCTTGTCCTTTCGTGTAACTCAAGGCAGCTGCTTTGGCAGCTGCTGCCTGGATGTCCTTTGGAGCAGCACTAGCAGGGCGAGGGAGCTGGTGAGCTAGCTCAGGGAAATTGAGGAAAGCAGAATTGCCTTTGATTGTAAGAGCCGCAACATCATGAGCTCGAGCAGCCATTTCCGCTGTGGGATATGTCCCTAGCCAAATCCTGGATTTCTTTCGAGGTTCTCGAATTTCAGACACCCATTTGCCCCATTGACGCATCCTCACCCCCCTATAAGTCAGATGCTTTCCTTCTTCCTCATTAATCTTTATCTCCTTCCTACCTTCATTTCCACTTTTGCGTTCTTCACTTTTCCTGAACCTTCTCTTGTTCATCACTTTATTCTTCATGGAGAGGGAGGAAGAGGAGGAGGAGGAGGAGGATTGATTTTGAAGATCCAAATTGAGTGGCGCTTTCATGGCTGAAGAATGGGGTATAACTAAGGAGTAGAAGAAGGTTTGCTTCTTATAATCGCTTGATCCATTAAAAAGTGGCATGGGACCTAGGCACAACGAATGTGAAATTTGGGTTACCACCAAATTTGTTCATTGAATAGCATGATTAATTTAGAAATTTTTTGTTTTTCTCAATTTTCCAAACGAGTTCAACTACCTAATGGCTGCCAATGATTTTCTCACTTTTTTTTAACAAAAAAAAAAATAGAAATTTATGTTTATCTTATGCCATGAATTTCACATGAAAGCAGCTGGCAATGGGTCCTCTTTTTTTTTTTTCTCTGGTACATAGTCCAACACTTTTTCCTTGTCACCGGCTTTTTGATGATATTACCTGGCAGGATTTGGAACTCTTATATGATGTCTCTTTTCTTTTAACAACCTTATCTTTTCTTTTCTTTTTTCTTTTCTTTTTTTTTTATTCTTTCTAGATCTAAATCAATTGAAGATTTAATTCACTTTATTTGCTTTTAAATATACGAACAGTTATACACGCGGCGCAAGTGTGGGGGAAAAAAAAAAATCAAAACCCTTAATGTAAAGTAACATTTATGACAAAAATATTAAACTGGTAAAGATAAAAATAATAATAACAATAATAATAAAAT